GGCCGTACAGATTTTGGAACCTACAGACCTGGGTGGTTCAAATATTAGCCTTGTCTCAAATTAATGTCCCTGATGGGCTGTTGCTTTTACATGTTACCTGTCCAACAGGAACACCCATGGAAAGACTGGAGGGCAGAGTGTGCTTGCCACGTGGGGCCCTCAGTGAAAGAAGCTGCTATTGTTATAACATCCATATTCTAGATTTAATTAAAAAACATTTGGCCAATTACTACAGACTTGTAGACAGTGCTTTATCTTAGATTGCTGTCTACACTCACTCCTACACCTTAAAATGCCGTGAAAGAAACAGGTACCAGAGTAAACTAAAAGGGGAAACAGAAGTTTCTTGAGATAAACAAAAATGGAAACAAAATAACAGAATCTATAGGATGCAGCAAAAGCAGTTCTTACAGGGACATTCATAGCAATAAACACCCATATTAATAAACAATCTATCTCTATGCCTTAAGGAACTATACAAGAATAAACTGACCCCAAAGTTAGCTGAAAGAAGGAAATAATAAAAATCAGAGCAGGAATAACAAAACAGAAAATTTAAAAACAATAGAAAAGATTAACCAAACTAAGAGTTGGCTCTTTGAAGAGATAAACAAAATTGACAAACCAAGGAAGAAAGAGAAAGACCAAATCAACAAAATTACAGAATTATAACTGAGAAGGGAAACAGATACTACAGCAGTTCTAGCAATCATAAGAGACTACTATGGGTAACTACATGACAACAAATCGGACAACCTGGGAGAAATGGAAAAATTCTTAGAAACATACAAACTACTGAGACTGAATCAGGAAGAAATTGAAAATCTGAACAGACCTATTATTAGTAAGGAGATTGAATCAGTTATCAAAAATGTCCCAACAAAGCAAAGCCCAGGACCAGATGGCTTCAGTAGTGAATTTTACCAAACATTTAAAGAATTAATCCCAATTCTTCTCAAAGTCTTCCAAAAAATTGAAGATGAGGGAATACTCCCAAACTTATTTTATAAGGCCATCATTACCCTAATAGCAAAGCCAAATAAGGACACCAGTAGAAAATAAAACTACAGGCCAATATCCCTGATGAACAGAGATGCAAAAATTCTCAAGATATGAACAAATGAATTCAGCAGCACTAAAAGGATCATTCTCCATGATCAAATGGGATTTATCCCTGTGATGCAAGGATGGTCCAACATGAGCAAATTAAACACTCTCACTACTTCTATTCAACACAGTACTGGAAGCCTTATCAAGAGCAGTCAGGGAAGAAAGAGAAATAAAAGTTACTAGAATTGGAAAAGAAGGGTATGGTCAGTTGAGCGTCTGATTCAATTTCAGTTCAGGTCATGGTATCAGAGTTGTGGGGTCAAGCCCCATGTCAGTCTCTGTGCTTAGCTCAGAGTCTGCTTGGGATTCTCTCTCCCTCTCCCTCTGTCCTTCCAGCTCATGTTCTCTTTCTCTCTCAAAAACATAAATCTTAAAAAAAAAAAAAAAATTGGAAAGGAAGTAATAAAATTGTTTCTATTTGCAGATTCCCTGATTTTATATATAGAAATTCCTAAAGTCTCAACCAAAAATGTTAGAATTAATCAACAAATTCAGTAAAGTTACAGGACATAACATTAACACACAAAATCAATAGCATTTCTATATCCTTCCAATGAATTTTCTAATACCAACAACTAATTTTCTGAAAAAAATAAAGAAAGAAAGAAACTGATTCCATTTATAATAGCATCAAAAACAACAAAGTACTTAGGAATAAATTTAACCAAGGAGGTAAAAGATCTTTATTTTGAAAACTATAAGACATTCATAAATCGAGGAAGACACCAATAAATGGAATGGTATCCCATATTTGTGGACTGGGAAAATGAATCTTGTTAAAATGTCAATACTACCAAAAGCCATCTACAGATTCAATGCAAACCTTATCAAAATTCCAATGGCATTTTTTATAGAAATTTAAAAAAAATTCCTAAAATCTATATGGAATCACAAAAAAACCCAAATAGCCAAAGAAATCCTGGGAAAGAACAACACAGAAGGAAGTGCCACACCTTATTTCAAACTACACTATAAAGCTACAGTCATTAAAACAGTATGGCTCTGGCATAAAAACAGGCCACTCCACCAATGGAATACAATCAAGCCCAGAAATAAACCCAAGGATATATGGTCAACTAGTATTTGACAAGGGAGTCAAGAATACACAATGAAAAAAAAGACTGGCTTTTCAGTAAACGGTGCTGGGAAAACTGGATATTCACATGTGAAAGAATAAAACTTGACCTCTATCTTACAGCATTCACAAAAATCAATTCAAAATGGATTAAAGACTTACAACCCAAAACCGTGAAATTCTTAGAAGACATAAGAATAAACCTCATTGGCAGGGGACTTAGTAAAATCGCACCTAAAGTGCAAGCAACAACATAAGATATAAACAAGTGGGACTACATCAAACTAAAAAGCTTTAGCACAGCAAAAGAAAACCATCCATAGAATGGAAAGTCAATCTACTGAATGGGAGAAAATATTTACAAACTCTGTATCTGGTAAGAGGTTAATATCCAAAATATATAAATAATTCCTACAAGTCAATAACAAAAAACAACCCAATTACCATATGATCTAGTTATTCCACTTCTGGGCAAATATCAAAGGAAACAAGAATAGTAACTCAAAGATATGTGCACCCCCTATGTTCACAGCATCATTGTTTATAATAGTTAAGACACAGAAACAACCTAAGTGTCCATCAATGGGTGAATAAATAAAGGTGGTGGTGGTGGTGGTGTGTGTATATGCGTGTGCATGCACACACAATGAATGTTATTCTGCCATTAAAAAATGAGGAAATCCTACCATATGTAACAACATGGATGGACCTCGAAAGTATTATGCTAATTGATATAGGTCTGACAGAGAAAGACAAATACTGTATGACCTTACTTATATGTGGGAATGTTAAAAACTAACCAACAAAATCCTACCAAAGTCATAGGAAAAGAAATCAGGTTTGTGGTTACCAGAAGGGGAGGACTGGAGGAGGGGAACAGGAGGAAGATGGTCAAAAGGCACAAACTTCCAGGAGGAAGAAGATGGTTGAGGAGTAGGGGGACCCTAGTTTTTTCTGGTCCCTGGAATTTAGCAGGATAGCTATCAAATCATTCTGAAGACCTGCGAACTCAGCTGGAGATCTAAGAAAAGAACTGCTGCCAACTCTACAAATTGAAATGAGACCACTTTCTGCAAGGTAGGATGTGTGGAGAAGTGAACCCGAGGTGATATATGGAAGACAGACCGTGGTGGGAGGGAGTCTCCATAAGCCGGCTACTAGAAAATTATATAGCATCCAATTGCAAAATCAGAACTTGGCAAAGTGGGATGGAATCCTAGATGGGACAGTGTGGTCTCAGGATCCCTGGGGTCACAGAAAGAACAGAGGTGCCTGAGTGTGGCAGAGCTCCCAGGTATTGGGCGTGGGGCAGCCAGCTGCAATCAGCGATCCCAGGAGTGGGCTTTCAATTCAGGGTTGCCATAAACCACAAACCCCAGCATGGTCCAGAGACTGCTCTCTGAGCAGGGGCCCACCAAGCAGAAGAACTGCAGTGAGACCCCCTCGCTCCCCTGGTAGGATCAGTGCAGGTGGGAGCTGCAGGACCCTCTAAAGTTTGGAGACTCCAAATGGGGTCACGCACCTGAGATAAAACAAATGGCTGCAGGCTGGGTGAACACAGAGTGCAGATGGAAACCAGGGATACAAGACTGACTGCTTCTCCTGAGGGCTCACTGAAGAGGGGGAGGCACAAATTTTCAGCTCTAGGTCTGGAGATCAAGGTGCCTCCATTTTCATTTTCATCCTCTAAAGTGGCATGGAAAGCCTTTAGTGAACAAAAGTCACATAGAGCAATTTGAAGCCACTTATTCCTAGCCTGGCCCCCTCTCAAGGTGGGTGTGATTCTGCCCAGGGGAAAGACACTTGAGAATCAGGGCAACAGGCCCTGTCCCCAGAAGACCAGCAGGAACATCCAGCTAAGACCAACTTCACCAAACACAAAAGTATGAAACTCCAGTGCTAGAAGAAAACGAGTGTATAGAATTCATGTTTTTCCCTCATGACTCTTCAGTATTTCAGTTTAGATATTCTTTTTTTCCTTTTCAACTAGTTTCTTATTTTATCAATTCTGTTTTTAAGTCTTTTTTAATTTTCACTTTTATATTTTAAATCTTTTTTAATTTTCATTTTTACATTTACATTTTAAATATATATTCTTCATTTTTGGCTTCCTTTCATTGTATTCAATTTAATTTTTGTATACATATAAGTTTTTTTCTTTCTATACAATTTTGGGATCTAGTTTCTCCTAACAAATAGACCAAAATACACCTAGAACCTAGTGTACTATTCTGTTCTGTCCACCTGTTTGATTATATTCTCTTTTTTTCCTTCTTTTTTCTTTTTTCAGTTCTGATCTCTTCTGATTTGTTTAATGTATATTTTGCTGGGGTCATGGTTGATATTTTTGTATTTGGTTCCCTCACTCATCTGTTCTTATCTGGACAAAATGACAAGACAGAAAAACACTCCAGATAAAAGAACCAGAGGCAGTACTAACTGCCTGAGACTTAATATGCATATCAATTAGATATCAGAGCTAGAATTCAGAATAATGATTATAAAGATATTAGCTGAACTTGAAGAAAGCATAGAAAACACCAAAGGATCCCTTTCTGGAGAAATAAGAGAACTAAAATCTAATCAGGTTGTATTACGAGATGTAATTAAAAAAAAATAGGCTCTGTTAGGATGAATGAGGCAGAAGAGAGAATCAGCGATATAAAAGATAAAATTATGGAGAATAAAGAAAATGAGAAAAAGAGAGATAAGCAACCACTGGATCACCAGGGGAAGATTCAAGAGATCAGCAATACCATAAGGCAAAACAATAGCAGAATAATTAGGGTTCCAGAGGAAGAATAAGTTGGGGGAGAGAAGGTATATTTGAGCAAATCATAGCTGAGAAATTTCTAATATGGGGAAGGAAACAGGCATTCAAGTACAGGAGGCATACAGAAACCTTCCCCTACCCTGTCAAAATGAGTAAAAATAGGTCAATGCATCAGTATATAATATTAATGAAGCTTGCATATTTTAGAGACAAAGAGAAAATCCTGAAAGCAACAGAGACAAGAGGTCCTTCACCTACAGAAGTAGAAACATAAGCTGATAGCAGACCTATCCAAGGGAGACTGGCAGGCCAGAAAGGACTGGCATGATATATTCAGGATGCTAACAGAGAAAAATATGCAGCCAAGAATACTTGATAGCAAGGCTATCAGTCAGAATAGAAAGAGAAAGAGCTTCCAAGACAAACAGAAACTAAAAGAATTTGTGATCACTAAACCAGCCTTAAAAGAAATTTTAAAGGGGATCCCAAAGTAACATTGGCCAGAAATAAACAGACAACAGTTTACAGAAACAGGGCCTTTATAGGTAAAACAACAGCACTAAATTCATACCTTTCAATATTTACTCTGAATGTAAATGGGTTAAATGAGCCAATCAAAAGACAAAGGTTATCAGAATGGATAAAAAAGAAAAACCCATCCATACGCTATCTACAAGAGACCCAAAGACACCTCCAGACTGATCGTGAGGAGGTGGAGAACAATTTATCATACTAAGGGACATAAAACAACAACAACATGGGGGTAGCAATCCTTGTATCAGACAAAATAGATGTTAAACCAAAGACTGTAACAGGAGATGAAGAAGGGGTGCCTGGATGGCTCAGTTGGTTGAGCAGCTGCCTTCAGCTTAGGCCAGATCTCCGGGTCCTAGGATTCAGCCCAGTGTCAGGCTTCCTGCTCAGCAGGGAGTCTGCTTCTCTCTCCCCCTGCCCCTCCCCACTGTTCATTCTCTCTCTTTCTCAAAGTCACTAGATTATAATTAAAGGGCCTATCCAACAAGAAGTTCTAACAACTGTAAAGATTTATGCCCCTAACTTGGGAGCAGCCAATTATATAAACCAGTTAATAACAAAATTAAAGAAACACATTGATAAAAATACAATAATAGTAGGGAACTTTAACACTCCACTCATAGCAATGGACAGATCAAGGGAACAGGGCTCTGAATGACACACTGGACTAGATGGACTTCATAGATATATACAGGGCATTTCATTCTAAAGCAACAGAATACACATTCTTCTTGAGTGCACATGGAACATTCCCCAGAATACATTACATACTGGGTCACAAATCAGGCTGCAACTGGTACCAAAAGACTGGGATTATTCCCTGCATATTTTCAGACCATGATGCTTTAAAATTTGAACTCAATCACAACAGAATATTTGGAAAGAAAACAAATGCATGGAGGTTAAAGAGCATCCTATTAAAGAATGAGTGGGTTAACCAAGAAATTAAAGAATTATAAAAATTCATGGAAAAAAATGAAAATGAAAATACAACTGTTCCAAACCCTTGGGATGGAGCAAAGGTAGTCCTAAGAGGGAAGTACATAGCAATACAAGCCTTTCTAAAGAAAGAAAAAAAGTCTCAAATATACAACCTACCCGTAAACCTAAAGGAACTGGAGAAAGCAGAGCAAATAAAGCCTAAACCCAGCAGGAGAAGAGAAATAATAAAGACCCAGAGCAGAAAGCAATGAAACAGAAACCAAAAGAACAGCAGAACAGATAAAAAAAAAACAGGTGATCATTCTTTGAAAGAATTAAGATTGATAAACCCTTAGCCAGACTTATCAGAAAGAAATAACAAAGGACCCAAATTAATAAAATCATGAATGAAATGGAGAGATCAACACCAACACCAAACAATTTAAGAACATATTATGAGCAACTATATGCCAAAAAATTAGTAAGTCTGGAAGAAATGGATGCATCCCTGGAACTTCATAAGCCACCAAAACTGAAAGAGAAAGAAACAGAAACCTGAACAGAACCGTAACAAGCAAGGAAATTGAAGCAGTACTCAAAAATCTCCCAACAAACAAGAGTCCAGGTTTGGATGGCTTCTCAGGGGAATTCTACCAAACATTTATGGAAGATATAATACTTTTTCTTCTGAAGTTGTTTAAAAAATAGAAATGGAAGGAAAAATTCCAAATGTTTTCTGTGAGGTCAGCAGTACCTCGATTTCAAAGCCAGACAAAGATCCCATCAAAAAGGAGAATCCCAGACCAATAACCCTCTTAAACATGGACACAAACATTCTCACCAAGATACTAACCATTAGTATCCAACAATGTATCAAAAGGATTATTCACAGGACCAAGTGGGATTTATTTCCGGGCTACAAGTTTGGTTCAACATCTGCAAATCAATGTGATCCATTACATTAATAAAAGAAAAAGAACCATATGATTCTCTCAATTGATGTGGAAAAAGCTTTGTCAAAATGCAGCATTCTTTTCTGATTAAAACTCAATAGTGTAGGGAGAGAGGGAACATACCTCATTATCATAGAAGCCATCTACAAAAAGTCCACAGCAAATTATCATTCTCAATGGGGAAAAACTAAGAGCTTTTCCCCTGAGGTCAGGAACACTACAGGAATTTTCACTATCATCCCTGCTATTCAACATAATACTAGAAATCCTAGCCTCAACAATCAAACAACAAAAAGAAATAAAAGGCATCCAAATAGGCAAAGAAGAAGTCAAAGTCTCACTCTTCACAGATGACATGATACTCTATGTGGAAAGCCTAAAAGACTTCACCCCAAAATTGCTAGAACTCAGGAATTCAGCAACGTGGCGGGATATAAAATCAATGCACCAAAATCAGATGCATTTCTATACACTAACAATGAGAGAGAAGAAAGAGAAATAAAGGAATTGATCCCATTTACAACTGTACCCAAAACCATAGATACCTTGGAATAGACCTAACCAAAGAGGTAAAGGATCTGTACTCTGAAAACTATAGAACACTCATGAAAGAAATTGAGGAAGACACAAAGAAATGGAAAAACATCCCATGCTCATGGACTGGAAGAACCAATATTGTTAAAATGTCTATGCTGACCAGAGCAATCCATACATTCAATGTAATCCCTATAAAAATATCATCATTCTTCACAGACCTAAAACAATCATAAAATTTATATGGAACCAGAAAAGACCCCGAATAGCCAAAGGAATGTTGAAAAAGAAAACCAAAGCTGGTAGCATCACCATCCCAGATTTTAATACTCCAGCAATTAGTACAGCTTAGGGTTGAAGTATCCACTGTCAAGGTAAAGACTAAATCACCAGGCTTAAAACTTCCTTGCCATAGGTTTTGTGTAAAATATGGGGTTTTCTCTTCATTACTGTTGTCATCTACAGGTTTTCTGGTTAATGAACCACATTGTGGGGTGGGGAGCAAGGTGCGTGTGTGTGTCTTCGAAACAATGTGAAAATACAAGGAGAGAATCATGTAGAAAATCATTTCCTTCCTTGCCTTGCCCCCTTCACCTGGCCCTTTTGCTGTCTCTTGCTTTCTTTTTATGTGGGGGAGCAGCTAATGCTGATTTGAGCTCTGTTACTTAGCATTCTCTCTACCTCCCCAGTTTCGTCCTGAGGGAGCCTCAGGCCCCAACCACTAGGACCTTGCCCTTCAGGCACCTCTGCCTTTCTGCATCTAGAACCCAGGCCATATTCTTCACTTCTCTTTGCTAACACTGGCATGATCGCACTCTTCTGGAATGCTACCCGTGAGCACTCAGGTTTTTCCCTTACTGTCAACCTCCTTTAAACCTGAGATGAACACCTGTGTTCTCATTTCTCACTCTGATGTTTCTTTTTCCATCAGCCAGTCTCTGCTGGCAAGTGTTTCAGCCACGCACAGCTACAGGGGAGACAAGGCACGATGCGGCAACCCACCCAGAGGGGCTCTGCATTCAGACAGAGGGGCTCCTGCCCATGAACAGGAGCGTATCTGGTTCTCACCATCCTTGCTTCACCAGCCATGAAGTGTGCATGCAAGCCGCAGGAGTGACAGAGGCAAGGCAGATGCAGCAAACCAAGTTTTAGCCTGTCAGGTCCATTAGACATGCCCCCCTGCACAGAGCATGTGTAACAAGACGACACTGTGAAGACTACAGCTACTCTCTGGGACACTTCGCCATACCGCACAGCTGCTCACCAGTATGGGCCATGCCAGGGTTTAAGTTTGGTCATTTTCTTTGGGACTCAGTGCAGCTAAACCTCATCCTTTAGTGAAACCTGATAATCCTTAACCAGGGATATACTGAACTTCTCAGTGCTAAAATTTTCCATAAATGCCAGCTTCTGATCGCGTCACATGCTCTGGTGACTGGCTTTGAGTACATGGAAAATTCCAATCTGAGCTGGCTCCGAGTATGCCACAGACACAGCCTCCACAAAGGAGCAATCCGCCACACAGGAGCAATGGGAAAACACAAACTCCTTTTTTTGCCAAGGAGGCAATGGAGAATTTCCTGAGATCAAATCCTCTTTGGATATACGAAACATTAAACGTGCAGATATATAAAGACTAGATCTAATTACCAAAGTTTTGATTACTTGTTCTCGAGTATGGATTTAGGTGTTTGAAAACAGTTACTAACTGCATTGCCAAGGTCAACCTGGATAGCAAGAAGACGCCAGCATCAACCGGCCTTGAAACCTCCCTATGTCACCGGCTGAGGGAAATGAAGCTGGAGCATGAGAAATGAAGCAATATCTCCTTCTCTAGCCATACAGGAAATAGCAGGATAGCTACCTTTCCCCCTTCCTATTACTCTAAAGAGAAAAGGATAAAAATAGTGGACTGTGAATGAATTAAAGAAAAATTATAAGATTAAAAGCCGAAAAGAAGGCAGGCAGGCACCAGCAGAAGAGAGGCAAAGAATGTTAATAAATTGGCTTTGGCTCCAAAAGTACAAAGAATTGCAAAAGACCCAAAGTTGGGACTTATTTTATTTTCATGCCTGGCACAAGAGGATAAATCAAATAAACTGGAAGTTGGG